CATGACCATGTTCTTAAATTATTATACTTCTTATGACACTTAGCTTGTCTCCTTTCAATGCCAGGGTAGCTTACAGCTTGCCCTGGGCCCATCCAGTCCCTTCGCCAGGACCCTCCTTTTTGGGGTTTTAGGAAGTAAGGGCGACTGCGAGGCTTAAGTCAGTAAATATGATGGGTGCCCAGGAGTAAATATTATTTGGAGTCAATTAACCCCCATGTTACAAAGCATAGGATCAACTGTCTTCCTGTGTCTATACAAAAAGGACATTGCCAAACCATGCAAATGACATAAAGGAACTGAGAAAAAGCAATATAGGATTATCAGTGCTTGATGGAATTGGGTGTGCCTCAGGGGCACTGTTGTGGGAGTAACTCAATAAACCTAAGCTCCCTGCAAGAGGACAACCCAAGATTATCCAACAAAGGCAGAGAAAAACATACAGATTTTTTAAAAAGTATTTCAAATACTTCTACCCCCAACAGAGGGGTACTGCTATTGCTGAAACTACTGAGCTACAGTTTGTTTTAAATTACTAATGCAGAAAATGCAAACGAATCTCTATAAATCTCATTTAGAAAGTAAATTGCTTAATTGCACATCCATTCAGGAGTATAATACAAAGATTTCCTATTACAGAGTCACATTTTGACTTGGAAGATATGTGCACACATATTTATCTCTTTTCCTAATAGAAGGCTGGTTTTCAAGATGTAAATGGTTCCACTTTTTCACAGAATAATTCAGTTTATCTAAATTCTACTTTTGAAAAATAGTAATAAAAATCAGAACAAAAATTACAAGGCTCTTTCTGCTAGTCTTTGGCTTGATATTAAAAACTGTTTTAGCTTTAAAAGATCTGTTTCTGACCATTTTACTTCTCAAGCGGAGAAGGGTCTGCGGGTGAATGTCATTACCACCTTTCCTAAGACCAAAGACTAGAGACTCAGCAGCTTCCGGGGTACTGAGAGTCAGATTCATTCGTTGTGACCACAGCAGCTATTCTCAGAGAACAACACAGGGAAGAACAAACACAACTTCTTATTTTAGGATTTTCTCACAATTTTATTTTAATTTTCTCGGAATCTCCAAACTGCCTTCAATAAGGGTTGTACTAATTTATATTCCTACTAACTTTATCAAAGACAAAAAAATTCTGTCTCTGAAGAGCATTTGCTGTTGGTACATAAAATTACAGAGCACATTTCAAAAAAGACATATGACAAAGGAAAAAACTACTTTAAGTAGACATAAGAAAAAAAGGGAAGGAAGGAGGTTAAACACAGGCCAAGAAGCAAGTCAAATGTCTCACCCTGGAGCACGGAACCCTACTCCCAGCCCGGGTAGGTTAGGGATCACTGCGGGTCTGTAGACCCCCATCCCGGGTAGCTTAGGGCTCACTGCGGATCTGTACACCCCCAGCCCGGGTAGCTTAGGACTCACTGCAGGTCAGGACTCTGCAGTGACTGTTGGGCATCATCATTTTGAAGACTTCTAAGATCAAGCTCAAGTCCTCACTGAGTCCAACGAGGAGCCCAAGGAACAGTGCTGTATGTATTTCCAAGTGTGCTTACCTGTAGCTGTATGTATAAATTATACGAAAATGCAAAGGGGCACTGAAAGGAGGACAGAGAAGCTCTTATATGAGAGTTTCGTCTGGGACACCATTTCTCAATCAGGGGGCATTCAGCCCCATGGGTCCCCAGGGTATTCCCAGGGGTGAAAATCATGTGAATGGGTTTGGGAGATGTCCATGCTTTGAGACTAGGGGGTGACCACAGGTCAGAGGGCTCCACAGGAAGGAAACAAGGTTAGAACGGCCTCCTGTAATCGAATGCTGGGAAACACCATCAGGCGAAGAGAAAGTAACGGGCAGGATGTCCCTGCCTCCCTCAGAGAAGATCCCGGTAACGAGCAGAAAATCTGGCACTGCTCACTGCCTGCTACGTTTGCAGACTGCTTCACACGAACGGTGGCAATAACCTTCAAGGGTTACTGTGGCAATACGGAGTTATAGTACACTTGGCACAACGCCTGGGAAGCACCAGTGCAGAAAGCAGAAAAAAAAAAAAGGATAGGTAGAAATAGATAATGTCAGGAAAGGGGAAAAGATAATAAAGTTCTTTAAAAGATCAAAAACCAAAAAGGGAGGATTGGGCTAATATCAGGAGGATTTACAAGATACGACAATGTGTATTTATATATCTACATAATGGAAATCCATTACACACTCAATTAGTGACAAGAATCAAACCTCAAAGGACAGGCACTGTGAAGAAAACCACACGCTGCCACGAATCACTCAATAAGGGAGTAGTTCCAATCAAGTGAGATTTCTAAAAAAAAAACTATCCGCATCTCAGAGCCTATCCAAGAAGTGTGAGCATGATACCTCACTAAGTATGAGTGCAGTTTTAAAGAAAGATGTGTTTTTCAATGTATACGCAAAAGACAACTACTTAATCTGGTGCTCATTAAACAGCAAAGAAAATATGAAACGATGTGATCTTCATTGCCTTTTACAGACCTTCTAACTAGATTTACCACATTACTCCATCATACTCCATTTTACTGATGCACTGTGTCCATCCATGGTCAGCCTCAAGGCAGTACGCCTGCCTTTACCCCGTCTGCCCCAAACCCCTGAATCCTTCCAAAATGTCCAACCATCTGAGTTCAGATAGGAAGGGACAGGTTAAGACTAAGAAGAAATTAGGCAAACTGTAAAAAGAAAAGTTGTCGCAAGATGGATCAGAAAATTAAACCCAACATTCTGCTGCCTGCAAGAAACATATCAGAGCAAACAGATTCAATGTCAAAGGCTGGAATACAATTCTACAGGCAAACAACTCCCTCAAAGAAGCTCGGGTGACCATTATGGTATCAGACCACATTGATTTCAGACTGAAGAAGGTCACAAGACACACAGTGAAGGTCATTTCTTATTTATCAAGGGATCTGTACAGCAGGAAGAACTTATACTCCTAAATGTATATGCACCTATTGAGGAACCAGCAAAATATTTAAAACAATGACTCATAGGCTCGAAGAAAGAAACTGATAGTAACCCAAGCACAAATATTTGTAAGTCTACAGCTGTACCTCATGGTGTTTCATTAATAAAAATTAAAAAAAAAATCTAAAGAGGTGAAGGACCTATACAAACAAAATTAAAAAAAAAAAACTAGTTCAAGAAATGAAAGAAAACACTAGGGAATGGAAACATATCCCCTGCTCATGGATTGGGTGTATTAACATTGTCAAAATGGCAATAATCCCCAAAGCACTATACAGATTTAATGCATTCCCTATCAGGGTAAACCTGACATTTTTCAAAGGAATAGGCAAAACACTCCAGAAATTCATAATGAACAATAATCCCCCACAAATAGCTAAAGCAATCCTTGGGAAAAAGAAGATAGGTGGCATCACCTTACCCAACTTCAAACTGTACTACATAGGTGTAGTAATTAAGACAGCATGGTAGTGGGCTAGAAACAGACCCGCAGACCAATGGAACAGAGCTGAATATTCTATCACAGACTCTCAAAGATATGACCAATTAATCTTTGATAAAGGAGTAGGAAATTTGAAGTGGAACAAGAGAAGCCTCTTCAACAAGTGGTGCTAGGAAAACTGGACAGCTACCTGCAAAAAAATGAACTCTGACCTCTAACACCAGGCTCAAAAGTCAAATCCAAGTGGATTAAAGACCTCAATATCAGACCTGAACCCATAGGCAACATGGAGGAAAATGTAGGCAGAATCCTCCATGACATTCAAGCTAAAAGCATCTTTAAGGATGAAACATCACTGACAAAAAAAAAAATCGACATTGTGACAAGTCAGAATTTCCTGTGTGGTAACTGCTCATCCCAAGTTTCCAGAACAGTATCAATGACATGTGTTTTATGCCCGTGGACATACCTACAGAAGAACTCTAGAAACTCACACTTTTCACCAGGCAAACTCTCTCAGTCTACCTCTCACATTCAAAAGGAGTATCACATCATGTGTATGAACACAGAATAAATATGGGAATTTATAAAATAAACTCGGAATAGAACACAGTAAGAAATAAGTAAAAGTTAGGAGGAAGGGAAAATCTTCAAAGTATAGGGTGGATAGTGGAAGCTTTAAGAGTATTGATGAACTTAAGAAACTAAGAAAAAAATAAAAAGACTCATAAGCAAGTTGATACAATGAAGCCTCTTTTAGTAAATTTCCACAAAAAAATCTTATCATTAAGTTCACTTGTCAGGCACTTATTACATGCTTGTATCTGTACTCACACTAGCAGTATGCCAAACTGTATTATCTATTTTATATTAGAAATTTCCCCCATTTGACGGAAAAATCTCAGGCCCACTCCCAAAAATTTCATCATATTTGAATGAAACTATACTAACACCACACTAACACTATACAAGTTATAAGTCATACAACATTCCTTTAAGTAATCAGTCCATAAAGCAGATACTTGTTATTATTCTGCCAGAAGAACCTAGGAAAGTCTCAAGACCTTGCCCAGTGTTGTGGAAGACCAAAGGGGTAGCATTCACACTGGCCTGGGCCACCCAGACACATCGGGCACCTCAGGGTCTTCTGAGGTTTAAAGATTCTCACTTTCTCGTTACTATGCTATGGTTGTTTTTTTTATGTAAATTTATGAGCATGAAATTAGACTCTCACACAATATATTACAAGTAACTAAAGCAGACTTTAAGTACCTTAAATGTATGCAATGTTTCATCCCTCAAAAACTAAGACTTTTTTGTGTTTATTTCTAATTTATAAGGCAGAAGTACCACCCTTTAATAGCACACCAACTGATAAATGAGAATTCAAAGTACAGTGGCTTAGGAAAGGAATCAATTAACTGTTAAAAGTCAGGAAGCAAAGTTTCAAATTTTGGACAAGCCAGCTCAACGGGATTCTCATTAAAATTCCCAGTGAATACAGGGGTTTAATAACCTCCTAGTTTTTTGAAGTGCAAACTTTACCTGGGTCATTATGAGAATGAGGCACCACAAACACCTGAAGAGGAGATGAGTTCCATTCATTTCCGTCATAGCTAATGTCAAATCCTTGCTTCCAAACTCCGCCATCTGGATTGTCAAAAGGAATTATATTGTAAACATTCAACATCTAAAAAACATAAAAACAAAAGAGAGTAAGTATAACCATGGATAACCATCAACTTGGTCATGGAAAATATTTGCTCTAAAGTACTTCCTGCTAAGACCAGAGTTAGGACAGGGGCCAGCAAGCTTGCCTTAGGCAGCTGGCAGTGTATACAATCCCCTGCACACTACCCAAAATTAAATGAACAAATAAATCTAAAAATATCCCCATACTCCACATATTTTATTACATAAAACAATTTTTATAGTCTATGCAGATTTTAAGCAGAAAACAATTTGGCACCAACATCTTAAAATGCTTACTTATATAATTGCCTGGGAAATAATACCCTCCCTCATCTGTTTCTAAGAAATTATGTTATTCCATTTCTTCATCCCTCCTTCATCCCCTAAAAATAGCTAAAAAAAAAAACCTGAATAGCAAACAGAAATGAGGAAATATAAATATGACCCAATATTTCAGGATTTTTAATCCAAAAATTAACAACTTCTTACTCTGAGTTGTCTTTTCAAAATTTATTTTCACTGGGGGGGATTTGGGGCGACAGCCAGTAGTGCTCAAGTCTTAGTCCTGGCTCTTCTGGCGGTGCTCAGGGACCCTCTGCTGAGGCAGGAACACAACACAGGGCGGCCACAGGCAAGGCAAGTCATGCACACTGGGTTATATCTCTCTGAATTGTCTGTATCTGAACCAACTGCATAAGGTTTAAATTATGTGACTATAAATGTATCTAGAGATCTTCTTTCTCTTCCTCTATGTTATGTTTACCTGGTGTATTCTAAAAATAAAACAACAATAGGGACAGCTAGGCATCATCACTGAAAAAACAAAAAACAAAATGCAATATAATTTTCAAGTCTCCAAGTGTCTTTAAGTTTCTATTGCAATATACTTTCTAGATAACAATCTACTTGGACAAACATAAAAATACTACAAAGTTTAAAAACTTGTTCTTCCTAGCCTCCGTAATAGTAAACCTAGCAAGGAAAACAAATCACTCATCTTTGGTAAAATTTAAATTTTAAATGAATATTAGATCATAACTGATTTATAAGTGAGTCACTCTTTGTAAGATATCAAGCACGTTGTATAAAAGTACAAAGGATTTTAAGGCAATCACTTTCAGCAGGTCTCAAGTATGTGACTTTACTCGTCTGAAATGCTCCCAGGACAGTGTGTCGGCCCCCTCGGTAGCCAGTGGTCATGTGCAAGCATTCCCGACTCCCCAGGACTCCCGGCTGCCAGGATTCAACACTCCTTCCTGCCCGGCTCAGCTTGGAGAGAACAAATGCAGCCAGCACAGAACCTGTTCTGCCCTGAACCAGGAGCGGGAAGGTCTTGGATGCATTTGAAGGCAGAGCCCACAGATGCAGCTCCATCGTGCAGGCAGATTCTTGGAGAGAGGCTGGCACCCAGGAAGGCCGCCAGCTGGGGGCCTGGCACTCTGCAGCCTGCCCTCAGTGATACATGCCGGCCTGCTGTGGGACAGGCTGCCCCACACACACTCTCTCAAGGCATCAGGACCCAGGACCCTGCTAACGGGCCAGCAGCCCCAAGAGCGACAGATTACAGGTCAGAGGGGCTAGTCTGCAGCGTCCGGGTACAGGAGTCCTTGCCTAAGACAGAGCAGATGCTCCATTTTCCAGTAAGCCAAATTACAGAAAAGCCAAAATGCCATTTGAAGAGGTCTGCAACATAAAGACCGTGCTCCCAAAGCCACAACAATGTGTGTCCAGGATGCAGAGGAGCTCAGTGTAAAGTGGACACACTAAAAGTGGCCACAGGCTTGTGGAGACAGTGGCTTCCATCCAGGGAAGAATTCTGGAATATTCCCTTCACTCTCCTCAAGAGACAGGAGAAAAAAAAAAAATCTGCCATTACAGCGTACGCCACCTATATGTAACACACAGTGAGGGAAGGCCTCTTCCAAACGGTAAGGAATCTCTGACTAAATTTAAACTTCTGTATGGCTTCAACCAGGACAGAAAAGAAGACCTGAGAACCATACAAAATGGTTATATTCATACCATATAACATAGAGAAAAGAATTAAATTACAGAATTGTATTACTAAAAAGAACATAAATGATTCAAAGAGCAATCAAATCACTTTACATAGAAACTACAACTACATGTATTTGTTTCTTTCCATAGAAACAAATCGAAAGGATTTGCATAGTTGGACCAGTTAATGATTGACACGCATGTCCCTTACCTGCACTTCTCGGCTCTGGCTGTTGCTCTGGGTGGCGAACAAGCACTCTTCAGGGGACACTGGGAGGCCCAGCGCCTTCGACAGCTGAGGTGGGGGTCCTGCGCCTCGGCTGAAGTTGCCTTGTGAACTTTTCGAACCATCTTCCACTGATTCGCTCAAATTAATCACTGAGTCTCTGATGTTTGAGATGATCTCATTATTCTCGGCTAGTAAACGCTCCAAGTGGTCTATTTTTTGTTGCAACATTACGAGCTGGCCCTACAATTAGAAGGAAAAAGCAGCTATATCAAACTCATATAGATCTGCTGATACACACTTTTTTTTTTTTGTTTAACATATGGGGCCTGCTCAAAAGAGCGGCCCTTCCCACTTCACTCTCCTGACGGGGGTCACAAGAAACGTCGACAGCTACCAGGTCCAAGCCCATGGATGGAGAAAATCTTCTGCAATACTCTGTCTCTGGGTGTACAACAGAAGAACCGAAAAGGATGGGAAATACTTTTCCATACTTCAAATCCAGACCCCCAGAGACCAAGGGTCCCTAACCCACCAATTACTTCAACCTATTCCACTTCAGGAGGAAATTAATCATTTAAGCATAATTCGGAGAAGTCAAAGGATAAAGAAGAAACTGCCTAAAAAAATTATTCCATCTCAATGCTTGCAAATAATCCTGCACTGCAGCACTGTCCTCCTGTTGTTCATGAATTTGCTCTAGCAGGCACCAGTAACGTCTCCATTGTGAGACTTGTTACTGTTTTTGGCATATCGAATATGCCATGGGGAGCTTGCCAGGCTCTGCCATAAGGGTCGGATACTCACAGTAGCTTGAGGGTTCTCCAAAAGGGATGGAGGAATCGAACCCGAGTTGGCCGTGTGCAAAGCAAACGCCCTACCGCTGTGCTATTGCTCCAGAATTTTGCTATAGTTGCTAATATAAATATATATATATATAAATAAATAATCCTAAATTACTGTCCAGGGGCAGGGAGACAGCACAGGGGTCTGTGGAGGGGTCTCTGGAGGGCTTAATCTCCACGATTCTATCTCCAGCACCACAGCACCCCTCAGCACCACCAGATGCCTGGAGGACCCAAGCACTGCCAGGCAAGCCCTGATGATCACTGGCTCTCCGGGTCCTGAGCAGCAACTCGCTGCTGAGCCCAGGCACTGAACTATCTGACCCAGTTAGCCAACTACAGGTGGCAACAGCAGCCCAGAGCCCCTAATAAGTGCCTGGAGGGACAAAAAGAAAAAAAATAATGCATAGAGAGTAACAAGAATGCTATCACAGAGAGAGTACATATCTGAGGGAGTGTGTCCATCGAGAGTGATGAGAATACTCTGATGATGCAGTGAGTATGCATCTGAGGGACTGCACCTATACAGAGTAACGAGAATACTCTGATCAAAAAGGGAGTATGTATCTGAGGAACTGTACCTATAGAGAGTGAAGAGAATACCCCGATCACATAGGGAGTATGTATCTGAGGGACTGCACCTATAGAGAGTAGAATACTCTGATCACAAAGGTAGTATGTATCTGAGGGGCTGCACCTATAAAGAGTGATAAGAATAGTCCGATCACAAAGGGAGTGTGTATCTGAGGGAGTGCATGTATTGAGAGTGGCAAGAATACTCTGACCATGTAGGGAGTATATATGTGAGGGACTGCACCTCTAGCGAGTAACGAGAATACTCTGATTATGGACACAGTGTATATCTGAGGAACTGAGTCTTCTGCTACTCATGGACAGCTCTGGCCCTCCTTGAAGAAAGTAGGAACACACCAACATGCTCATACTTCCCTGATACTGGATCATTCAGTTTCATAAAAATGAAGGCGTCCGGCAGCTAGACAGTCCTGAGGGGTTGGCACTCGCACTGTACACTGTTGTAACCCCCAGTATATGAGGACATTGTGAATGGCTCCCTGAGCAGAGCCAGGAGTGAGTCCTGGGGTGGGGAGAGCTGTATAATATTCCAGTGTCTAGACAGATGGTCTCCGGAAATGGAACAGCCTCGGTTGCAAACTGAGACCACCAAGCAGGAGCAGGACACGGAGAGGAAGAAGAAGTGGACAGGAAGGGACGAGAGGACAGTGGTGGAAGGTCTGGGGCACTTTGGTGGTGGTGAAGGTGCAGTGAGCGTGCATCAAAAGTAAAAATATTAACACTTCTATTACAATAAAAACTAAAAATTAACTTTTTAGGGGCTGGAGCGATAGCACAGCAGGTAGGGCGTTTGTCTTGCATGCAGCCAACATGGGCGACCTAGGTTCGATTCCCAGTATCCCATATGGTCCCCTGAGCACCGCCAGGAGTAATTCCTGAGTGCATGAGCCAGGAGTAACCCCTGAGCATCGCCAGGTGTGACCCAAAAAGCAAAAAAAAAAAAATTAACTTTTTAAAAAAATTGTTATCAAAATGATTTCATACATATCAAAACCTACTGCCTTTAAGGTAATGTCACCTCTGGGGTGATATGGGGGGACCACAAAATGGACAAATCGCTGAATCCTACTTGTCAGCATGTGCAAGAGTACATGGTCTTAGCACAAAACTCACCGAACAAGACACTAAAGCCTCATCTGCTTTAGAGAAAGAGGAAAAATATACATTGTGGATGGAGAGCTAATACAGCAGATAAGGCACTTGCCTTGCACACAATAGACCTGGGTTCAATCCCCAGCACTACTATATATAGTCCATGGAGTGCCATCAGGAGTGATTCCTGAGCACACAGCCAAGAAAAAGTCCCGAGGAAAGCTGGGTGTGGCCCAAAAAAACAAATTTTAAAAAAGAGTACACATCAATTCGCCATTCAAAAGGGCAAAGCAAAGGACATTTCAGTGGAACAGCTCAAGTTCAGGACTCAGAGAGAAGCAAGAAGAGCCATACAGATTATTTTCGATGGCCAGTGCTGAGCAGTACCATCCTATCAACCCTGCTAACACAGGGATAATGACGGGTGTTTCTCAATGGGGGAGAGAACGTGTCCTTGACAGAAATCAGTGTTCACACCCTCCAGAAACAAAGAATATTCGAGTCAGGCAGTATGCCGACACATATCTGTAAATATTTCCCTGATGAAACATGCCCTCAAAGGCCATCTAAAATACACGAGAAACCTATTCACTCATTATCGTACACAAAATATACAAGTCTATTCCAGGAATGCTTATGACTTTCAGCACAGCAGGGAACAACAGCAGATCCAGTTATCTGACTCCAAAACTATACATATCTTGATAAAATAAACCCTTAGCTTAGATTAAAACCCTACTTAGAAAAATGACAAAAGTTTTGCAGAACCTTTCAGTGTATAAATTAAGACATGTGTACATGCATTTTTTCCAGATGTTTTTTGGTTTTTGTTTTTATACTTTCAGTAACAGATCATTTTGGAGCCAAACGCATAGCAAAACTGATGTTCAGGGCGTGAACCCTAGAAAGTATAGTAGTTCCTTCCTGAAATAGTTTAACCTTGGCTTCCGTCCCCAAACTCAGGGGTGAGAGTATTATTCTAAACAAACATTACAGGAGATGGTTGTTGCATGAAAGGGACCCTGATGAGCTCGAAAGAGGACTGATGAGGACTCCCAACCTCACTGGGTCTTCAGAGATGCACTTAATGATTACTACCTGGAATTCTCAACAGAACGAAGATTCACAGAGAACAATGGCACAGACATTTGTCAGCATCATGGTCATAAGTTCGATTCAATAAAAATCATTTTTAACTTAAACTCTAATATATGAAGTACAGCAGTATGTCCAACCAAATGCTAAATTTTTTTTGATATACAAAATACCTCCAAAGCAAATTCTGTACATATGACAACATAACAGACAAGAGTAGTGTGATCATAAAGGGGTATGCTAGGAATCCACGTTTAAGAGAAATCACAGATAATGTTTCGATTATGCTGACAAGTCAGAGAATACTGATGGCAATATTGAAAACGACAATTTTCTGTAGGGGAGGAAAATCAGTGGGAAAGCCATTCTAGTCTTTGATTTGCTAATCAGTTCTATAGGGAGGTGACATTGTTGTGTTGCTGAGAAGCAGGAGTGGGAAGGAAGTTCTGACATCTGATTTATTCTGCTTTGGATAAAAGAGGAAACTGAGGGGCAGGGCGATCATGAATATCAGACTTTTGAAAGAGAAAATTTAAAGCACACTCCAAGGCAAAACAGAACCACTGCCCACTCCGTTCTGTGAGCAAAATAAATGAACATGCATCTAGAGTTAATCCCAGGTGCCGTTGGTCACCAGCCAGGGTGGAAGGGGAGTTTCCAGCTTCCCCCTGCAGCCAACAGTGGGTCACCGTCCCTTGGGTGCCCCACTGGGTGTGCGCAGTTTACAGGGACCCTCAATAATCTGGATATCAATAATCCGAATTACCCTGGTGCCACATTCTTTCATCTCATGCTCTAAGATACTGTATTTCACCACATTGTTTTTAATGCCTGCCTTTATCAGATGTTAGGTTTTTTTTTGCTTTTTTGGGTCACACCTGGTGATGCACAGGGGTTACTCCTGGCTCTGCACTCAGGAATCACTCCTGGCTGTGTTCAGGGAACCATATGGGATGCTGGGAATCGAACCCGGGTTGATCGTGTGCAAGGCAGACGCCCTACCCACTTTGTTTTTAATACCTGCCTTTATCAGATGTTAGTTTAAAGGGGAAACACACCATTCCTGGATCATAATCTGAGCTTCAGCCCTTGCTTTGAAACTGACATCCATGGTGGCCATGAAGAAGGCATGATTTTCAGGGGCAGTTAGCTGAGGGGCAAAATGCCATGCTTAAAATGGCAGTATCTAACAGTAAGAAAGCACTGGAAAAGAGACTATCCTGCCGCAGATATCGGAGCTGAAAGACAGCTTCCTCAAATCATGCTGACAAGTGCAGAAACAAGACCAGCCAAGAGTACAGCGGGTGGGCGGTCGCCTGACACACTGCTGACCTAGGGTCAGTTCCCAGCACCACATACTGTCCCTCGAGTGCCACCAGGAGTGACCACTGAGCACAGAGCCAGGAGTAAGCCCTGAGCACCACCGGACGGGTATGTGTGGGGTTGGGGGGAGAATAAAGGCAAACTAAACAACAGACTATGTTCACTGCATGTCCAAGATCCAGAAAAAACTCGAGAGCTCAACAACAGATGTGTGGACAAGGAAACAGTGCGATACAGAGAGGGAACAACACTCAGCTAGGAGAACAGATTCAATCTTGCAGGCCCCCATGACTT